TGGGGGTCCCAAAGTTGGGGGTCCCCGGTAATAAAGTTGGGGGTCCCAAAGTTGGGGGTCCCCGGTAATAAAGTTGGGGATCCCAAAGTTGGGGGTCTCCGGTAATAAAGTTGGGGGTCCCCGGTGGCCCCCGCGGTGCCTCAGCTCCCGCGCTTCCGCGTTTGTGGATCGCTCGCCGCTCATTGGGCGGCTCGCGCGTCAATCATAACCCTCGCCCAATCGCCGAAGCCGCTCGTCCGCCCTCAGCCAATCGCAGCCCGCCGGTGGCGGTGGGCGGGTCCCCGCGGCTCCGGTGCGGACGGGGCGCGATGGCGGCGGCGGCTCCGTCGCCGCTCACCGGGGTGGGCTGGGCCGCCGGGCCCGAGGCCGTCCCGCCGGGCTGGACCGCGGTACGGGGGGGCACGGGGAGGGCGCGGCGGCCGCGCGGAGCCCGTCCCCGGTGCCGGTGCGGTGCCGGTGACGCGCCCCGTGCCCGCAGATCACGGTGACGGCGGAGGGCGCGCCCGCCGTGGTGGGCAAAGGCTTCGGGCACCGCGGCGGAGGGTGGTACCTGTGCGTGCGCCCCGCGGCAGCGCAGGTAACGGGGGCACCGGGGACCGTCGGTGCCGGGATCCCGTCCCGGTGGGTTCCGGGGGAGGAACCGGGATCGGGATCGAGGCGGGGAGGAGGGATCGGGTCCCGGCATCAGAACCGGGGGGGATGGAGGGGTCGGTTCCCGGTCCAAACCCGAGGTCCCGTCTCGTCCTGGCGGCTCCCGGGGGAGGAACCGGGAGCGGGACCGGAGGGGAAGGTTCAGGGCCCGGGGTCCGTCCCCGCTCCTGGTGCCCTTCCCGGTGCCCGGTCCCGATTTCCCGGAGTGGGGCCGGGATCCCGGTGCCCATCCCGGTTCCCGGTGCCCATCCCGGTCCCCGCAGCCCCCGCCGTGCCCGGTGGTGACGGACGTGCTGGTGCTGAGCGAGCGGAGCCCGAACCCCCCCGGCTACACCCGCGCCCCCGAGTTCCCCGACCCCCCAAGTGCCCCCGGGGGCTCCCCTCCCCGGGGGGCTTTTCCCCCGCCCCCCCCCCCCCATCCCGCTGCCCTCCCGGTGCTGTGTCCCGTTCTCCCCCTCAGGAACCGGCGTTTCCCGGAGGAAAAGGCTCCTGGTGAAGCTGGAGCAGCCGAGCGGGGCCGCGGCGGTGCTGGAGCTGCAGCTCAGCTCCAAGGGCAAAGTCCTGCCCCTCTACACCAAAATCGGGTACGGGGGGGGTCCTGCAGCCCCCTCCCCCCCCTTTTCCCGGTGTCCCGCCCTCCCCAACCCGGGAATTCGGGGGATTTGTTTTCCAGGGAAATGGGGGGTTTCGCCATTTGGTGCAAGAAGGGGCCGGTTGGGACCCGGCCCAGCCCCGACCCGAGGCCGCTCAGCACCGGGATGGAGCAGCTCTCGCTGCAGCCCCCCAGGTACGGCCATAGGGACCCCCAGTTATTCCCAGTCCATCCCAATTCCAGCCCCAGTTACTCCCAGTACATTCCAATTCCAGCCCCAGTCACTCCCAGTCCATCCCAATTCCAGCCCCAGTTACTCCCAGTCCATCCCAGTTCCAGCCCCCAGTCACTCCCAGTCCATCCCAATTCCAGCCCCAGTCACTCCCA